AATTTGGGCTTCCCAAGTGGAGCTGGTGGTAAAGAGCATGCCTGCCAATGAAGGACATGTAAGGGTCGCAGGTTTGATCCCTGGATCAGGAAGATCCCCTGGAGGAAGGCATGGCAACCCCACTCTAGTAATCTTACCTGGAGAATCCCATGGACAGAGGAGCCTGGCAGGCTGCAGCCCATGGGGTTGCAAAGAGTCAGACACGACTGGAGTGACTTAGCGCGCAGTACCAGACACACGAGGACAGTTTCAGAAGCACTGATTACAATGGCATAGATAGTATTCGGATGGAAATAGCAGGACCAATAATAAAGCAAAAACAAGAAAAGACTAGGACTAATTGAAGTGATTTGGAATTTTAAGTATTCTACATATATTTACTTTTACTTTTTAAAAAAGCCAAAGTCTAAGTAAAATAAAAGGCATAAGTATTTTGTTGTCACTGAAGACTTCTGTTTCCTTTGTAAATGGAATAAAAAATTTGAGTGCTTTCCAGTAAATTTGGGGAATATCTTTTTTGTATTTTTATGATAATAGGAAGGGAATAATTTTTAATTTGAACTTTGTATCACATTTGCAGCCTTTAACCTGTGCTGATCTTTTCTTACTTTTCTCATTATCAATGTTTATCTCTCTCCCTCTCTCCTATCTTTCTTAATACTCTTTCTGGCATTGAGAGAAAGAATTAGAAGCAGACAGACAATTCAGCTATTACTTTGAATCACCAAACAGAAAAACTTCCTCTCAGGCAACACTGTAATGTAATTGTTATGTGATTATTGCTATTCTAAGAAGATTTCATTCTCCTAATTTTAAATTTTATATATTCAGATAAATGTTTATCCATTGATGGAAAGAAGAAACAAATCTAGAATTAAGCAGTCTAATTACATTTAAAGTGAATGAATGACTCTTTTTCACCACTGTATTTGCTAGAGATTTTTCTCATGAAAATTTTTATTTAAAGTTTTGGGTACAACCCATCTTCCCCAAACCCCTTCCTTTTACATTCCTAAAAGTAAGACATGAAAACAACCTCAGATTTTGATTTGTGTCCCAATAACTTCATATGGCCCCAAGTTATTTAGAGACAAATAAAAGATATTACAATTATGTTTTAAATAAACAAGGCCTAGGTGGAAGCAACTTTTTAAAAATAATGTTTTTTAAGAGTACCAGAATATTTATCCAACTAATCTTTAAAGATGTAATGCTCTTACAGAGGAAATAAAGGTGCTCAATAATAAATTTCTATATTTAGTCCTGAACATTTGAACTTTGATTTAGTAAAACTTATAAGAAAAAATTTCCAAGGCAATTGACTTAATTTCTAAAGACAGGATGGTAGCAATTGAATAAAGAAATAAATTTTTTCATACTAAGGTAATATATAAGCTGAAGTTCTTGAACAAAAGCAGCCTGTCAACTCCGGTATATTTAAGTACAGGAAAGATTGATGTTTGCCAATGTCAAATCAGAGAGAAGAAAAATGTTTTCAAGTTTAAGAGACTGCCAACAATGAAAAGGAAAATAAATAAAAATTTAGATGTACAATATTGTTATACCTTGTCAAGAAAATGATAATTGAAATCAGACCTCCTTTTACGAAAAACATAATGTAAAATTTCCACCAAAAAACTACTCGAGTCTAACAATTAAAGCAAAAGTAAAATTTTTAAAAGGTACAATGTGATGGCTGACATTAACAAAAATTGTGCCCTTAAATTATCAAAAACCTTTGCCCTAGATTTCATCTTCAGATTAATTAATCGGTTATATTTTAAAAGAAAGCTAGGAGTTTGAAAAATATCAACATGAACCATGTGGGACTCCATCATAAATTCAATAGTTAAAATATGCAGGTCTCTGTTTATTTCTTCTGCATTATCAGGTTTATGACATTTATTTGGTAGCTAGACGTTGTTTTGAATGTGCAATGATTTGAGTTATTAAAATACAGTTTGCTTATGATCCATGTTAAGAACATGCAGTGCATTCAAATAACTAGGTAACATTAGGCCTTTCATCCCAAAGCAGTATGTTTCATTTCCCTGGGGTTGGGATTAAATTGAGATTTTGTATTCATTTGAAGTATAATTGTAATGAGAATATTTAACATGGATCAAATGGAGAATACTGGCACCCTGGAAGTGCTTAGAAATCATTTGCTCTTTTTATACATTGTCCCATAGTGGGATTGAGAAAGATTACCACGCATTGTTTAATGATGTTATATTGTTCTATTTGTGAATCTAATGAAATCTTTGGCAGAAAAGCACACAAATTGCTCAAATGAATTTTAGAAAATAAGGCATCTGAATCAAATAATTATACATTTGAAATACATCAGATACTGTTAACAGTCTTTACCTACAGAAAGTCAGAGATATGTATGTATATTTTTAAACTCTTAATGTTTCCTTTTTATTCCCATAATGGAAAGTGGGGGGAAATTGTATTTTATTTGCCCACAGACATGGGAAAGAATTACCCAGCAGAGCTATGTACCCACACAGATTTTTCCAGACTCCCTTTTCCCCTGAAGCTGTCTTTTTATTGGCGCACCATGAGTGATTTTCCACCTTTCTCACTGAAGTGCTCAGGTGTACTAGCGCCACTCTCCCTCTCAGGCCACTGACTTTGTTAAAACCAAGAGCAAACAAATCATTTCTTTGTGCTGCTTGTTTGTGAGTGCTAAACCGGATCAGCCTGTGAGCAAAACCGGCCTGTCACTGAATAATCAGCTACTGAAAACCACGTAAAAATTATATTAGATTGGATAGTATCACAGATCTTAAAGAAAGTTTCTTTATGAAACAGTGCAAATGTCAGTAAAATTCATTAAGCTCTACAGGACATTCAGAAACTGTTTTAGTACTAAATCATCCCTAGCAATTGCTTAGGGCTAGATTACACTGACTCCGAAGAAAATGATGTTAGGTCAATGTAACATCCTAAAACAATATAACATTTTCTTAGAGAGTTACAGGCTTTTGCCCTAAGAGGAAATGTATTTATGTTAAGCACAGTCTAGGATGGAAGCTTGTTTGAATGTCCCGATAAATCCAGTCATTACTTTGGGGAACAAAGAAGTATGACTTACTTAGGAATTGTTAAAGAAAAGAAAGTGTTTCATTTGGTAAACTCCCTATAATAACATGGAAGTTCTGCTATATGACCATCATTCTTGGTCTTCCCAATTGCACTGGAAGTAAATATATTAATACAGTTACTATTCATTGTTTATGCTTGATGAAGGACTTTCAAATGTGCCTAGAAAACAGTTACTATTTGGCTCAGTAGTAAAGAATTCACCTGCAATGCAGGAGACACGGGTTTGATCCCTGGGTTGGGAAGATCCATTGGAGTAGGAAGTGGAAACCCACTCCAGTATTCTTGCCTGGAGAATCCCATGGACAGAGGAGCCTGGCAGACTACAAAAGAATTGGTCACAACTTAGTGACTAAACAACAACAATATATTGAACATAGTAGTGACAGTTCTCATCAAAACCTGGAACAAGGCAAAGATGCCTAACAATAGCACTATAATTTAAAATTATTCTGGAAGTTCTAGACAATTCAGTAATGTAATGATCTGACACCAGATTTATTAGAAAAAAGAAGAGAAAATTTTTATTCTCGTGAAATTTATAATCACATACAATGTAATTTACATCAAAAATATCTAAAATTGCCCAGGGCTTATTCATCCTATTTCAGAAGAATGTGATAAATTGGGATAATGGGAATGAGCTGACATAATATGACTTTTCTAATACATTTTCAGACTCCTACCTTAAGTAAATGTGTATTTATGTTGAGTACATTATAACAGAGAAACCCAAGTGAAGCAACTGAAAAACTACTTGAATTAAAAGAGGAATTAATTAAGATGGCAAGATACAAAATAAATAACATACTTAAAAAGTATCTATCCATCAACAATATCTTGATTTTGAGGTGAAGAAGAGGGAAAATAAATTCATGGTAACAATCACAATTATAAAATATCTGGTAATATCCTTAATACAAATTGCATAAGACCCATATCTGGGAAGAATTACAGAGCTTTCCTGAGCAACATACAAAAAGATACATGAATGTAAAGAATTATGCTTCTGAATGGGAATATTGTAAAGATGGCAATTAATGTGCAGGTGTAATATTAGCAACTCAGTCAAAATCCCGGTGGGATTATTTTAAGAACATGAAGAAATTATTCTAAAAAGGTTAGGATTCAGAATAACAAATATGAAATATCCTTTAATAAATATATTAATATCATACATTAAATATGAAAATATTATCTGTCACTGTATTTTAAATGGCATGATACAACTGCAGCTAGAATCTACACTTATAATCTCCTGCATTGGCAGATGAATTCTTTACCACTGTGCCACCTGGGAAGCCCTATAAAATGGAACAGATAAGCATAAAATTAACTCAGCATTTCTGTGAACCAAATACGACAGAAGCTCCTAATAATGTAGATAGGACATGTTATTCAGTGAAGGATAATGAGAGATTTGGCCAGAATTTGTGGAGGAAAAAAGAGTAATACACTGAAATTCAGACACCACATATATACATTTTGAAGAATTTTAGTTACATAGAAATGTTCATAGATAGAAAAAACATAAAAATATTTATACAATATGAACTTAGTCTGGTAAAATAAATATATACATGGAGAAAAAGGTGAGGGGATGTTGGTAGACTGAAGGTGATATGTTTTCTTCTTTATACATTTTTGTAATTTCCATCTTATTCCTTCAACTATAGTATATTACATAATCAGAAAGATCAAAGTTCTCACCTTTGATTTTCAAAGCCATCTTCATGTTATGGAAGTAGAATTATCCCTTGGTATCCATGGGGTTTTGGTTTCAGGACCTTTTGCAGCTGACAAAAATCTTAAGATGCTTCAGTCTTTTATATAAAATCTTATAGAATTTGCATGTATCCTATGCACATCCACACATATATAATTGACCCATGAACAACATGGGTTTGAATTACATGGGTCCACTTATATGTCAGTTTTTTCCAATAAACATGCAGTCATTTCTCTGCATCTACAGGTTCAGCCAACTGCAGATCAAAATTTCCATCCACGGTTGGTTGGATCTGTGGGTTGAAGCCATGGATACGGAAAGCTCGCTGTACTCATTGCACCGCATCGTTTTACACGGGGGACTTGAGCATCTGTGGTTTTTGTTACCTGCAGAAAGTCCCAAGAATCAAGCCCTGGTGAGGATTAACCATTAATCACCTCTAGATTACTTATAATACCTAATACAATTTAAATCGGAGACGGCAATGGCACCCCGCTCCAGTGCTCTTGCCTGGAAAATCCCGTGGATGGAGGAGCCTGGTGGGCTGCAGTCCATGGGGTCGCTAAAAGTTGGACACGACTAAGCAACTTCACTTTCACTTTTTCACTTTCACGCATTGGAGAAGGAAATGGCACCCCACTCCAGTGTTCTTTCCTGGAGAGTCCCAGGGACGGGGGAGCCTGGTGGGCTGCTGTCTATGGGGTCGCACAGAGTCGGACACGACTGAAGCAACTTAGCAGTAGCAGCAATACAATGTAAATAAAATGCAAATATTATGTAAATAGTTGTGGTCACAGAAAATCCAAATTTTGCTTTTTGGAATTTTCTAGAATTTTGAGGGGGGAGTATTTTTGATTGGCAATTGGATGATTTGATGGATGCTGTACACACAAAACTGGAGGACAAACTGTACGTTACAAATATTATATATTTTCAGGAAGATATTGTTTTGCGTTGTTTTAGTCTCTGAACTCAGGCGTTTATTTTTTTTTCCCTTTTACAGTGAATGAGCAGTTAGTGCTCTGTCAGGCAGTCGTATCCAACTCTTCACAACCCCAAGGACTGTAGCCCAACAGGCTTCTCTGTTCACGTGATTTTCTCAGCAAGAATACTGGAATACTGGAGTATTCTCAGCAAAATACCATTTCCTTCTCCAGTTACATTCAGAATAAGATCAGTAAGCAGGGAACATATAGTAATGCTTACCATTACATTTCCCATGCCTAGCATAATGGCTGATACGTAGAGGCCATGCAAGGTGTTTGACTACAGGAACAGCTAATCAAAACAAAACTCACCTATTTCCAAAAAATGTTAAGGAATTAACTCTGTCATTAGAATATAATCTAATCAACAAATACCAATCATTTGATTATCTACTATATAAGTTGGAACAATTAAAATTTTTTTTGTTTTTATTTAATCTACTTAGATATGGACAGTACAAAGGCAAAAACTGAGAAGACCAAAGAAACAGCTTACCACCTTACATTTTGACATGTTGGTCCTAGAATTTGGTAGTCTTCCTGCAGATCTAACATATTTCTTTTGGGTAGGCCAAGACTTTTCTTGAGGGAAAAGAGAAACCAACCACTCTACTATACCTCTTCTTTAAAGAGCTCAAATTTTAATTCCTAGAGAATCATTTTACCTTAAAACAACTCCTTCGAATCTACACTATAATGACATCACAATATTAGACCCTTATATTTCTTCCAGTTCTGTTGCCCTCATCTTGAGAGAATTTTTTCTTTCTCTCTACTATTATATACTCACTGTCCCTGTGCCTTCTACCAAGCATTATCTTGTTCTGCTCCAAGAGGCTCTTCTTCCCCCAGAGCCATTACATTCAGTTATTTTGCTTAATTATATTAAGCTATCATGTTGTAAGGGCTTTTCTGGCAGCTCAGCTGTAAAGAATCTGCCTGTCAATACAGGAAACACGGGTTCAGTCCCTGGGCTGGGAAGACCCCCTGGAGAAGGAAATGGCAACGCACTCTAGTGTTCTTGCCTGGACAAGAGGAGCCCATGGACAGAGGAGGGTCTTGTCTTTACTGCATTTCTCTGAGCCACAGGATAAAATAAATGGCAGTTGAATCAACTGTGCTATCAACTTTCTTTAAAAAAAATCTTATTACCTTCTAACAGTTGAACATTTCACTGATTTATTTCTTCAACCAATGCCATTTATTGACTTCTTACTAATTCCTTAACATTGTGCCAGGTGTTTATTTGGGACACAGAAATAATTGAGCTAATTCTTACCCTTGTGATACATTGCTTTCTTTATGAAGCTCTGAGAGAGATGATTATTCTATAACTGAGATGTTGAATCCTGATTTCTAATTGAGCTTCCTAGGCAAGGACTTTTGAAATGAAAGCATTAAATTTTGTGATATCATTCTATCAAGAGGACAATACATTATTTTTAAATAATTTCTGTGCTTAAAGATATTTGGAATGTTTATTTTATAAAAATACACTTATAGTTTTATAACCACTTCTTGGTTATACTTCCAATAGTGTACTACTTGTATTCAACTTTTAAAAATTATAGAGCAGGCAACTTTCTTCCATTACAACTTTTCAGATAAAAACTTCTGATCCTGTTATGCTTGCTATTATTTTCAAAATATAGGAAGGTACACCTTTGGTATCCCTCAAGAAAAACATGTTTTATCTTTGTTCACCTAAGGACATTTCAAAAAAACACCCAGATAGCTTTCCAAGATGAATAGTGCCTCCTGATTTTCACTTGACTCAAAGGGTAGAATAAATGAATAATTCTGTATGCAAGTTTCTTGGTTTGCTTACAACTTTCTGCTAAGACTCCAGAGACCTTTAAGCAAAAGATTCCACCAATTACATTTGTTGTATGTGTGTATGTGTGTATATTTTTTTCAGAAAGCATATGTTAGTGGGGCTATTAAGCAATTAGCTTCATGCATATAGATAGTTCATTTTGCACCAAACCATATGATGTGACTGGAATTTATAGAAAACCATCTTTCTTGCCAGGAATTGAGGCGAGTTAATTCTCTAGTTTGGAGAAGTGTGGTCTTATGACTGCAATCTGTACCCTTAAAAATCAGGAACCTAGAATTCTATATTCAATTGCTTAGAAAGGCACAAAAATATAAAAGTTTATCTTTATTAAACATAGAAATTGGAAAGAGAATACCAAGTACCTGACTCATGTTGCATGCTCTCTAAATGTCTGTTAATTTACAATGAAATGAAACCAGCAAGGGGTGAGATTAGGGTTTTGGGGTTTTTTTAATTGAATATGTGCCATGAGGTCTCATGTCCCTCTCAGATTTGGCTCTGAGCTTTCTAGCAGTCTAGGCAAAAAGGGAAATGCAATCAGTGAAGGAATCTGTGATGTCAATGAGATAAAAACAAACTGGCTGCTCAGGAGAAACCTAGCTGTTTCTAGAGATTTAATATTTCCAGAATAAATGAATGATGTTGAACTCAGAAAAATTTCTCCCATTTGCATTTTTAGGAAGGCACCATCTTTCCAGCAAATGGCAGAGAACTTCATGTGTCTGTTTTTCAGACCAAAGCCTAAGAGTTGATCAGGAAAACTACTATTATGGAGGTGAAACACAGTCACAGCCTGATAACACGCCTTAATTCAAACAATATTTGGAAATACCTAGAAATACTGAAGCAGAGGTAGATGGATTGCATGTACTTTGGGCATGTATATATTTTCTAAGTTTAAAACAAGATTCATTGTCACCTTTTGAAGCTCTAGTTGTGCTTTATAAAAGAAGTGTGTTACCATCTTGTCTCATTTTTAAAGCATTCATATCCCAGGCCACAGCCCTGAATCAGTTTTTTGTTGTTTTTTTTTTTCTCTTTTTGGGGTGGTGGAGATTATACTGAAACTCCATGGAATGTCTACTACACAATGTAAAATTCTACATGATTGGCCTTTTGTAACTATTAAGCAAAACCAGTAAATCAAGATGCTCAGATTAACATATTTTCAGCAGAAGTATCCATATGAAAGGAAATGTTGACACTCTTTATGAAAGCTGCTTTCTCTCTGTACTGCCGCCATTGTTATTGTGGATTTCCCTGTTCAGCACTTAGTTCCAATTTTTTAAATGATCCATTTCAACACTAGACAGCAATATTCTTCTAGCCATATGAGTTTTGGGTTGCATTTTATTACAATTTAAAGATTGCAGAGCTGTACTGTGAATTACAGTGTTAACATCCCCTATATTTTAGAGGACTGTGCTCATAAGAATTATTACAACTGGGTTCAGGAATTTTTTTCTTTTGGCCTTTGAAAAGTCCAATGCAATTTAATCTTTAGGAGTAACTAGATTATGAATGTACTGTACAACTACAAAAAAATTTAAAAGTACAAAAACAATGGATAATTGATTCAAGAATTCCAAAGAAACGTTTGGCTTACAGGAGGTATCCTGAACGGATACTTTACTGCCAGTGCTATCTCTATCCTAGCTTGCTGGTGATGTAGGAAAAAAGGCAAGGACACAAATAACTCAGCAAACCTCTTTTCAACACGTTGTCAAGTCCCTTATAAAGCAAGTGCAAACATGGCAGAAAGCCACCACCAAATTTCAGAGTCGAAGAATGCATAAATTGTTACAAGCTTATGCTATAGATCAACTACCCAGAATTTGGGAGGTTTCTGCTAATACCTTACTCTCAACCATCCTTGTCACTTCTTTTTCTCCTGGCCTAAGTGGGCCTCACTGTCTACTTACTCCTCCAGAGCAAATAGGCCAGGTGAAAACTTGTCAGCTAATATTTCAGCTGATGTGATCATTGGAACTTTACTGAATTTCAGAACTTTACCCTTTTTATTAATCTTAGAATTTCTACCAAGGACTCCCCTATCACTTAAGTAAATGATTAATATTGATTCAAAAAATGACGAATTGAAAAAGCTTTAGAGATTTTTGTCTCTTCACTACAAGTGGCAGAGTTTCTGAACCACAATCAATTTTCACTTGTGATAATTTTATGATCTATTTAGCATAGCACAGTACTCTTGTGAATATTTTGAGAATTGTTTATACTGTCTTCCTTTAAATTGTTTTCTTTCATTTAATCTTTTTTAAAAAATTTATTTCTTTTAATTGGAGGCTAATTACTTTACAATATTGTAGTGATTTTTGCCATGCATTGACATAAATCAGCCATGGGTGTACGTGTGTTCCCCATCCTGAAGCCCTCTCCCACCTCCCTCCCCATTAGTGGAAAATTGCTTTACAATCTTCCATACACCAACACAAATCAATCATAATTATATATATATATATACATATATATATATATATATATATCCCATCCCTCCTATCCTTTCCCCCATTAAAATTTCTTTTTTATTGAAGTATAGTTGACATATATTATATATTACAATATAGTGATTCACAACCTGTAATCATAAACTCTGTTTATAGTTATTATGAAATATTGGCTATATTCCCCATGTTGTACAATACATTCTTATAGCTTATTTTATATCTAACAGTTTGTACTTCTTAATCCCTTACTCCTGTCTAACCCCTTCCTCCTCCACTCTCCCCACTGGAAACCACCAGTTTGTTCTTTGTATCTATGGGTCTGCTTCTTTTCTTGTATATTTACTAGTTTGTTATATTTTTTAGATTCCACATATAAGTGATATTATAAAGTATTTGTCTTTATCTGTCTGACTTATTTCACTTAGCATAATGCCCTCTAGATCCATCCATTTTGCTACAAATGGCAAAATTTCATTCTTTTTTATGTCTGAGCTTGCCAATGCAGGAGACACACATTCAGTCCCTGGATGGGGAAGATCCCCTGGAGGAAGAAATAACAACCCACTCCAGTGTTCTTGCCTGGAAAATCCTATGGACAGAGGTGTCTAGTAGGTGGGCTACAGTCCATGAAGTCGAAAAGAGTCAGACATGACTGAGCAACTGAGCACAGTGAGCCTAGTATTCTATTGTATATTGTCCTTATTGTCCACATTGTCCTTATCCATTCATCCTTTGCTGGACACTTAGGTTGTTCCCATTCTTAGAAATTTTAAATAACGCTGCTATGAACATTGGAAGGCATGTATCTTTTCCAATAAGTGTTTGCGTTTTTTGGATATACACCCAAGTGAAAGTCACTCAGTCGTGTCCAATTCTTTGCCATCCCATGGACAGAACTGTCCAGGAATTCTCCAGGCCAAAATATTGGAGTGGGTAGGCATTCCCTTCTTCAGGGGATCTTCCCAACCCAGGGATCAAACACAGGTCTCCCGCATTGCTGGCAGATTCTTTACCAGCTGAGCTACCAGGGAAGCCCATACACCCAAGTTCAGTTCAGTTCAGTCGCTCAGTTATGTCTGACTCTTTGCAACCCCATGGACCTTAAATTTCATGTTTGTGATTGGAGACCAGTTTTTCTTTTTCCTGTAGATCTCATTTAAATGTGATTGAGAACAACCCCATTCAATTAAATGAAGACTGCCTCAATTTATCAATACTTGTATTTTTCTCCTGGTCTCCCAATCAGAGATGATATTTAAAATATTTAACATCTTCCATAGTACCTATTCCAGCTCACCAGCCAGGCAAGACTTTCTCCCTGGCTCCCCCAGAGTCAAATTCCTATGAAGACTGATGTTCCTGCAGCTACAAAGCCAAGATTAAGGGCCAGCCAGCCTAAGGGGATCCCTATGAGAGCCACTGGCAGTAACTAGGAGGCAAGGCTTTGAGAGACTGGCTTAGCATCAGTTAGTCAGAGTAGATTTCTGGCACCTAGTTAACTGGGCATTAACTCATTAGCTGTTATATCAAGGGTATCCTGGGTGAGAAGCCAGTATAACCAGGGCACTTTTACCAACCTGTGCATGCTATGTTGCTTCAGTTCAGTTCAGTTCAGTTCAGTCGCTCAGTCATGTCCGACTCTTTGCAACCCCATGAACCGCAGCGCGCCAGGCCTCCCTGTCCATCACCAACTCCCGGAGTTCACTCAAACTCATGTCCATCAAGTCGGTGATGCCATCCAGCCATCTCATCTTCTGTCGTCCCCTTCTCCTCCTGCCACCAATCCCTTCCAGCATCAGGGTCTTTTCCAATGAGTCAACTTTTCGCATGAGGTGGCCAAAGTATTGGAGTTTCAGCCTCAGCGTCAATCCTTCCAATGTTGCTTCAGTCATGTCCAACTCTTTGCGACCCCATGGACTATAGCCCACCAGGCTCCTCTGTCTATGGGATTCTCCAGGCAAGAACACTGGAGTGGCGTGCCATTTCCTTCTCCAGGGCATCTTGTTGACCCAGGGATCAAACCTGCATCTCTTAGGTCTCCTGTACTGGCAGGTAGGTTCTTCACCACTATCACCACCTGGAAAGCTCTTACCAACCTGGAGAGGACTTTTAAAATACTTTAGTAACCTGTATTATCTGTGAAGACTTTCCTATAAATATTGGCCAAGTATCAGACCTGCTCACAACCCATCATAAGCAACTGAACCTACAGACTTAGACAGTGAGGATAAACAAGCATTTTTAGCCAGCTATCTAAATGTTTCCTTGTCTTCCATACTTGAATCAGACCTTCTGCTTTGAATGTGGGTTCAATGCCTATAAGACTTTCAATATCTGTTTACCCAAACTTTTGACTTTTTTCTTCTAAGCCTCAGTTTCCTTTTCTGTAAAATAGTTATATTCAAAGCATTTCAACATACTATTACTGTGAGGTTTAAATGAGACAATGCAAGGGAAATTCTTAGTATAATACCTGGAATATAGTTAGTGTTACCCACTTTTCACAGGATCTTCAATTAATGAATTTTGTAATCATATATGCAGGTACAAAGAGAAATGGTATATTTGGTTACATGAACACATGCTGTGCATTGTGTTAAAATAAAAGGATGAACAGAGAAATAGGCTATTATTGGGTATGAGAGGTTTTCATTCTTTCAGACATCATAGGGCTATTGTATACTCTGATGACATGAAGAAGCCTAGGATTGCAAGGACTGATGTCAATTCGTGGCTTCTGGGCTTTTATCCTTAATGAGGAAGAGCTCTGCTTTCTCTCTAGAAAGAGGGAGATCCTCTGTCAAGCTTCAGGTCTCCTTGTATTCATATATTATCTTTTCCTTTGACTTTTGCTCAAAACTAGGGAAAAGAGCATATCTTAAAATCACCAGTGTCAGGAAACCTCAGGCTCTTTTGTTTCTGGGCAACATGAATAAGAAGACTGTCATAAAAGATATAGAAACTTAGGAGGAAATAAATAAAAATGAGTCCTAGAGGGCAGCATAAAAAAGGGTATAGCAAAACTCTGTTACCAAGTAAATGAGTCTTTTAAACAAGATTTCCTTGTCATCCTCCTAGATTGGCATCAAGTCTTTATTTTGAACCGTGTCATACTAGGTGCTCTGAGCAAAAGTCAATTATATTCTAGAGACCTGATGAAGACTAAACATCAAAATAAGAGTTGGAAGGAAGCACTGTGGCACACCATTTTCTAAGAGTTTCTTTGAATCATATCTGTTTGCCTCCTCTTCCCTCTTGGTGTTTTATCATATTCAAAATATGCCGTTTTTGTTTTCTGACTTCCCTTCTCGGAAGTCTTGTTCACAAGTGGGTGTCATTGGAACAGTCATATTGGTTTATTACCATTGACTAATTAACTTTTCTTGATGTTTTCTTCATCATCCATGAGGTGGAAAATTCCCTCAAATGCATTTCAAAATCTCCCAGCTAATTCTCTAGTGATTTGTAAACCAAGTTTTATGCGTTATTCTAACTCTAAAATTTCTTAGACTGAAAATAAATGTGTATTATGACTGTCCTTCTTTGAAGCAGTCTTATTTAAACCACTTTCCTCCTGTTCTTTCCCTGCAGCAATCTTCGTTACTGCCAAAGAATAGCGGCCATGACCATCTAGATTAATAAATGAAAGCCAAAAATAAAAGAAAGAAAAATGTAAAGTCTCAGTCATGTCCCTTTCTTTGCGACCCCACGAACTGTAGCCCACCAGGCTCCTCTGCCCATGGGATTCTCCAGGCAAGAATACTGGAGTGGGTCGCCATTTTCTTCTCCAGGGGATCTTCCTGACCCAGGGATCGAACCTCGGTCTCCTGCACTGCAGGCAGTTTCTTTACCATCTGAGCCACCAGGGAAGCCCAGACTTATATGTGAGACATTATTAAACTGTAATTGCAGAAGTTAAACAGTATCCAAACATTATTAATTCACCTTAGGTTTACATGTCTGTTGATATGATTCTCTTCATTAAATGAAAAATCCCTGTCATTTTTTGTAGAGTTGATATCATTTAGCAAAGTCAGATTTGTGAATATCCCAACTTGTCTGTCTTTGCATTGTTCTTAGAAAGAGAAGAGGTCTGAAAACCCCCCATTTTTGTTTTAACAATGCTAATTTATGTAAATATTTCACTATTTGGAACTTAATCATAAATATTATATTGACTTTCTTAACACATACATTATATTTGTCCTTGTTACTTGGCATAGAGGTAGAAAATAAGTATCTAGTATTATAAATGTGTGAAATACTCCCTTTGATCTATTAGAATTTGTCATGAATTCAATATAGCACACATCATTTTGAGCTACAGTATTAACTTATATCTCTGTTTCATCCTCCCCCTCAAGATTGGTGGTTTCTGGATAACAGTACCTTGCCTGCCTTATTTTCATTCTTTGTCATCATATAGATTCTTGTCATTGTGCCTGGCAAATAGCAGGGGCTTGATAAATGCTGTCATCAAATAAATGAATAATATTAATGTTATAGAGGCATAAAAATTGTGTAGAGTTGCTATAAATGTTTAAATTCAATAGTTTTACAAAACTTTCAATTAGTTATCTGTATCCTAATATATATCACTTCATGGCAAATAGATGGGGAAACAGGGGAAACAGTGGAAACAGTGGCTGACTTTATTTTGGGGGGCTCCAAAATCACTGCAGATGGTAACTTCAGTCACGAAATTAAAAGACGCTTGCTCCTTGGAAGAAAAGTTATGACCAACCTAGACAGCATATTAAAAGGAGAGACATTACTTTGCCCACAAAGGTACATCTAGTCAAAGCTATGATTTTTCCAGTAGGCATGTATGGATGTGAGAGTTGGACTATAAAGAAAACTGAGTCTTTAGGATTTTCTATGTAGAGGATCATGTCATCTGCAAACAGCGAGAGTTTCACTTCTTCTTTTCCTATCTGGATTCCTTTTACTTCTTTTTCTGCTCTGATTGCTGTGGCCAAAACTTCCAAAACTATGTTGAATAGTAGTGGTGAGAGTGGGCACCCTTGTCTTGTTCCTGATTTCAGGGGAAATGCTTTCAGTTTTTCACCATTGAGGGTGATGCTTGCTGTGGGTTTGTCATATATAGCTTTTATTATGTTGAGGTATGTTCCTTCTATTCCTGCTTTCTGGAGAGTTTTAATCATAAATGGATGTTGAATTTTATCAAAGGCTTTTTCTGCATCTATTGAGATAATCATATGGTTTTTATCTTTCAATTTGTTAATGTGGTGTATTACATTGATTGATTTGCGGATATTAAAGAATCCTTGCATTATTACTAGAGCTAATCAACGAATACAGTAAAGTTGCAGGATATAAAATTAACACACAGAAATCTCTTGCATTCCTATACACTAACAATGAGAAAACAGAAAGAGAAATTAAGGAAACAATACCATTCACCATTGCAACAAAAAGAATAAAATACTTAGGAGTATATCTACCTAAAGAAACAAAAGACCTATACATAGAAAACTATAAAACACTGATGAAAGAAATCAAAGAGGACACAAACAGATGGAGAAATATACCGTGTTCATGGATTGGAAGAATCAATATTGTCAAAATGGCTATACTACCCAAAGCGATCTACAGATTCAATGCAATCCCTATTAAACTACCAACGATATTTTTCACAGAACTAGAACGAATAATTTCACAATTTGTATGGAAATACAAAAAACCTCGAATAGCCAAAGTAATCCTGAGAAAGAAGAATGGAACTGGAGGAATCAATCTGCCTGACTTCAGACTATACTACAAAGCCACAGTCATCAAGACAGTATGGTACTGGCACAAAGACAGAAATATAGATCAATGGAACAGAATAGAAAGCCCAGAGATAAATCCACGAACCTATGGTCACCTTATCTTTGACAAAGGAGGCAAGGATATACAATGGAAAAAAGACAACCTCTTTAACAAGTGGTGCTGGGAAAACTGGTCAACCACCTGTAAAAGAATGAAACTAGAACACTTTCTAACACCATACACAAAAATAAACTCAAGATGGATTAAAGATCTAAATGTAAGACCAGAAACTATAAAACTCCTAGAGGAGAACATAGGCAAAACACTCTCCGACATAAATCACAGCAGGATCCTCTATGACCCACATCCCAGAATTTTAGAAATAAAAGCAAAAATAAACAAATGGGACCTAATGAAACTTAAAAGCTTTTGCACAACAAAGGAAACTATAAGCAAGGTGAAAAGACTGCCCTCAGATTGGGAGAAAATAATAGCAAACGAAGCAACAGACAAAGGATTAATCTCAAAAATATACAAGCAACTCCTCCAGCTCAACTCCAGAAAAATAAATGACCCAATCAAAAAATGGGCCAAAGAACTGAACAGACATTTCTCCAAGGAAGACATACAGATGGCTAACAAACACATGAAAAGATGCTCAACATCACTCATTATCAGAGAAATGCAAATCAAAACCACAATGAGGTACCATTACACACCAGTCAGGATGGCTGCTATCCAAAAGTCTACAAGCAATAAATGCTGGAGAGGGTGTGGAGAAAAGGGAACCCTCTTACACTGTTGGTGGGAATGCAAATTAGTACAGCCACTATGGAAAACAGTGTGGAGATTTCTTAAAAAGCTGGAAATAGAACTGCCATATGACCCAGCAATCCCACTTCTGGGCATACACACCGAGGAAACCAGATCTGAAAGAGACACGTGTACCCCAATGTTCATCGCAGCACTGTTTATAATAGCCAGGACATGGAAGCAACCTAGATGCCCATCAGCAGATGAATGGATGAGGAAGCTGTGGTACATATACACCATGGAATATTACTCAGCCATTAAAAAGAATTCATTTGAATCAGTTCTAATGAGATGGATGAAACTGGAGCCCATTATACAGAGTGAAGTAAGCCAGAAAGATAAAGACCATTACAGTATACTAACACATATATATGGAATTTAGAAAGATGGTAACGATAACTCTATGTGCAAAACAGAAAAAGAGACTCCTATGTATAGAACAGACTTGTGGACTCTGGGAGAAGGCGAGGGTGGGATGTTTCAAGAGAACAGCATTGAAACACGTATATTATCTAGGGTGAAACAGTTCACCAGCCCAGGTTGGGTGCATGAGACAAGTGCTCGGGCCTGGTGCACTGGGAAGACCCAGAGGGATTGGGTGGAGAGGGAGGTGGGAGGGGGGACCGGGATGGGGAATTCATGTAAAAAAAAAAAAAAAAAAAAAGATACACTGGAATTAGAAGAAAAAAAAAAAAAAAGAAAACTGAGTGCTGAAGAACTGATGCTTTTGAACTGTGGTGTTGGAGAAGACTTGAGAGTCCCTCGGACTGCAAGGACATCCAACCAGTCCATCCTAAAGGAAATCAATCCTGAATATTCATTGGAAGGACTGATGCTGAAGCTGAAGCTCCAATACTTTGACCACCTGATGCAAAGAAGTGACTCATTGGAAAAGACCCTGATGTTAGGCAAGACTGAAGGCAGGAGGAGAAGGAGATGACAGAGGATGAGATGGTTGGATGGTATCACCGACTCAATGGACATGAGTTTGAGCAAGCTCCGGGAGTTAGTGATGGACGGGAAGGCCTGACGTGCTGCAGTCCATGGGGTCGCAAAGAGTCAGACACTACTGAGCAGCCAAGGAACCCTATGAAGACCAATACTCAAGCTTAATCCCAAGCAGGTTATATGACTCAATTCTACATAGCAAGAGGGATGTGGTCACTAAAGACCTTTCCTAAAGCTTAAAGCAAGACTTACAACTGTTCATGTGTGTCAGGAAATAATGGCTAAACTTGACAGTAATTGTCAGTAGGGAAAAATAGAGTTAGACTGCTTCAGATGGGACTACCCCCTTAGAGAGAGACAAGTCACGGTCAAAGGACAGGGTAGAACGAAGAGGGAACTGGTTCACATAGTCTACGTCGTACCAGCCAGCAACCCGGGAGCTTTACATGGTACTTCCTGTAGTTCTCGCAGCACTATGAGTTATGTAGTGCTATTTCCATTTATTAATCAGGAGATATTGATAGATTTCTCCTTCTCCCAGCTACCAAGTAGGAGTCTTGGAGTTTAAACTAGGCCTGTAGTTTAATAAATAATTAAATAAATAAATAAATAATAAAAGAAAAGCCCATTTTCTTTTCACCATAGCAGAATACATGATTGGATTTCACTCCCATTTTATATCTTTTGTTGAGTTAGGCAGGGCACGAGTCAATTATACAAATTATCCCCACCAGCTTTATTAGAGGTTATATCCATCTTAGCAGTGGGAAGAGTGAGCATTAAGGAGGGCCTTCAAATAGTGGACAAGTAAAGACTTTGACTTGAAATGGACTTTGATCTATACCCTTGTTCTGCCTCTTTCCTGAGCAAATTAGTTAACCATGCTAATCTTTAATTATATAATTTACGAAATGAAGATGTTCACAGAATTTCCAAATGATAAGTACAATCCCTAAAGCCAAGAAGGCATTCAAAACTGGTGGCTATTTGAATCACTAGTTATGTAAAATAGTAATTCATTCTCCTTTCATGGGATGCTACTTAAAGCAAGGCTTGCCATTAGAGAAGCACAGAAAAAGAAAAGAATTGTCTCCAGGGAGGGCTTA